AGAACAAATACCTGCACGGTAAGACTGAATCATTTTACTTCTTTGTTGACTGTAAACCTCATTTACTCCACGTTGTTTATGTGTCGATCGGCGAACACGACATGGTGTCAGAATTATAGAACCCACGTCTCTCCTCGGTTAATCCCTAAAAATCTCTTTTGAATATGGATTCTTCTTTTACTCCACCTATACCACCGGACTTTTCATCGGATAATCTTTCTGAAGATTGGAAATTTTTTAAAGAGGATTTAAAAATATATCTTACGGCTACGGAGAAACTCGGTAAAAGCGACGAAATAAAAACAAGCATTCTCTTACAATGCTTAGGAAAACAAGGTCGTAAAATCTATAGGAATTTCAATTTTCAAACGGAAGAGGACAGTCTCACATATGCAACAGTTTTAGGAAAATTTGAAGAGTACTGCAACCCACGAAAAAATGTTACACTCTCTCGATTTCAGTTTCTCACTGCTCGTCAGGAGGAGGCAGAATCCTTTGACGAATTTGTTACTAAGATAAAATCACTTAGCCAAGAATGCGAACTAGGCGAATTATGTGACAGCTTGGTTAGAGATGTTATTATCATAGGCACTAATAACTTACGCCTACAAGAAAAACTGTTGGCTGAATCAGATTTAACTCTGGAAAGAGCTGTGAAAGCTGACCTAACTGCCGAACTCACCACACAAAGACTTGGAATCTTACAAAGAGAGACAAAATCGGTCAACTACACAAAGAAAAGCTCATCAAATAAGAAAAACATGGAGCAACTGCAGCAACAAAGACCTGGAAGAAGTGGAACACAAAACTCTTCAGGCAACACTAATGACAAAATACAAAACTGTAGATTTTGCTCATTCTCCCATTATCGTGAAACTGCCCTGCATATGGACAGACCTGCAACAAATGCAAAAAACGGAACCATTTTGCCAGCAGATCTCCTACAAATAGATCAATGCACAGAGTGGACCATGAAGATAGTGATTTTCCTCCACGGATGATGCTAAATCCAAAATGTTTGTAGATTGTATCTCTTCTAAACCCTCTGCCACTAACAAAAAAGATATAAACAACTACAAAATTAATGCCTCATCTGAAGACTGGAACGTCAATCTGGAAGTGAACGGGACAGACATAGTATCTAAAATAGATTCAGGTAGTCAAGTAAATATTCTTCCCACAAAGGATTACGAAAGACTAGCAAAACGTCCAAACCTAAAATCAACTGGTATAACACTATCTGTGTACAATAACACATCCATACCAGTTCAAGGCAAATGTATTGCGCAGATCATAAAAAACAATTTGAAGCATCATGCGATGTTCATTGTGGCTGGCATAGATGCATCTCCCATACTTGGACTGGAAACCTGCTCTAATCTCAACCTTATCAAGAGGATCTGCAAAATCAATACTGACAAGATTGATTTTCTCTCCGAATTTAAGGACTGTTTTGGTGAACTCGGAACACTCCTGGGTGTTCATCACATTACTATGGATCCCGATATCAAGCCGGTCATAAACCCTCCTAGGAACATTCCCTTTGCACTGAAAAAAAAAAAACTAAAACAAGAACTCAAGCGAATGACTGAATTAGGCGTCATTACCTCAGTGACGGAACCAACAGAATGGGTATCATCACTAGTAGTGGTGGAAAAATCCAATGGCTCTCTCCGTATATGTCTCGATCCACGGAATCTCAGCAAGGCCATCAAAAGAGAACACCACAGACTACCAACTGCATCGGACATAATCCACGAAATGGCAGGTGCAAAATTTTTCACCAAGTTAGATGCATCCAATGCATTTCGGCAAATTTGATGAGGAAAGCTCCAAAGTTCTCACCTTCAACTCACTCTTTAGACGATTTTGATTCACACGTCTTCCATACGGCATTCATAGCGCTAGTGAGATATGTCATGCGAAAATAGCATCCATTATTGAACAGATTGAAGGATGCAGAAACTCACAGGATGATATCATTATTTGGGCAGACACTCCAGAAATACTAAAAAATAGAACCATTGCAGTTTTGAATGCCATAAGAAAATCAGGCATGAAATTAAATCAGTCAAAGTGCCAGTTCAACATAACCGAGTTGACATTTCTAGGGCACAAAATTTCCAGTCAGGGAGTCGAGCCTAATGAAATAAAATGCAAAGTGATAAGAGACATGCCAGACCCATCAACTAAAACAGAACTCCAACGTTTCTTAGGCATGATAAATTACTTAGGCAAGTTCATTTCCAAATTTGTCAAATGAAACTGCACCTCTTCGTCTCTTATTGGAAAAAGACAACATGTGGTCTTTTGACAAACCACTGAAAAACAATTCAACGACTCGAAAACTTAGTTACGCAGAGTCCAACATTGAAATACTTTGACCCGATACTTCCAATTAAAGTGTCTTCTGATGCTTCAACACTAGGACTTGGAGCAATGTTAGAACAAAAACACAATGAAAATTGGGCTCCAATAGCATTTGCTAGCCACTCTCTCACACCTTCTGAAGCCAACTATTGCCCCCTTGAACTTGAAATGCTGTCCATAGTATTTGCCTGTGAACATTTCCACGAATTCTTGTATGGACAACGTTTCAAAGTAAACAATAATCACAAACCTCTAAAATCCATTGTCACAAAACCCATTGCGAAAGCCTCCCTAGAATACAACGTTTCTTAATGCGTCTACAGAAGTATGACTTTGAAATTGCATACACTCAAGGCAAACTAATGCATGTTGTTGACACACTCAGCCGTGCAGCACAGAAAAAGAACACACCAGAAATCTCTGACAAAGAAATGAACTTTGTTGTCCATTCCATAATGTCCTCCATACCCATCAGTGACAAACGTCAACAACATCTCACAACTGAAACAGCAAATGACCAAACGTTACAACAACTGCAACATCAAATTATAATTGGATGGCCACAACATCGACACAACCTGCACCCTTGTCTTCACCCTTATTTCAATTGCCGAAATGACTTAACGCGCTATAAGGGGCTGGTAATGAAGGGTTCACAAATTGTTGTACCACTCAGTATCCGTGCAGAAATGCGCAAAATTCTACATCAGGCACATTTAGGAATTGAAAAAACTAAATCTAATGTCAGGAAGGCTCTTTTTGGGTGAACATGAACAAAGAAATCGAAGATATGGTAAAAAATTGTGATTCATGTCAACGATATAGCAACCGACAAAGTACAGAGCCACAGATTCCACATGACATACCAGACCAACCCTGGCACAAGGTTGGCACAGACCTCTTCAGACTGCAAGGGAAGTATTAACTCATGGTAGTGGACTACTACTCGAATTTTTTTAAATAAGTCTACTCCATAATACAACAGCACTGACGGTGATTAATCGGACAAAAAACATCTTCGCTAAACATGGGGTTCCCCAAACTAATAATCTCTGACAATGGCCCTCAATTTAAGTCAAGTGAATATAAAAAAATTGCCACTGAAAAGGGTTTTTCCCATGTAACTAGCAGCCCAGAATATCCACAGTCCAATGGTCTAGTGGAGAGGACTATCCAAACAGTGAAAAAAACATTGCATAAATGTTTCCAGACAGGAGATGATACATATCTTGCGCTACTAACGTTGCGTACAACACCTGGCAAAGACAACTCTCCTTCACCGGCAGCTAGGCTAATGAATCACCAACTGAGAACACTGCTACCAATCATGAGAAAAATAATCATGATCATCAAAAGGCAAATCAAATCACAGACAGACAGTACAATGTGATAGCCATCATCAGAGCTAACTCCTCTTAAGATTGGTGACCAGGTCCGTGTTCATGATGGCAAAACTTGGTCCAGGGAAAGGAGTAGTGACTGAACGTTGCTCCCCAACCCAAATCATACATAGTGCTGACGGAGAATGGTAGAAGCATACGCCGAAACCGTCGACATATGCACTGCAAGTACCCTGTTCAAAAACGCTAGCATCACAATCATATCCTGATACAATATTCAGCGCAACCAGACAACCTCATTTACCTAATTCACGAGAACCATGTCCAGCCGTTTCAGAATCGGGACTCAAACCAGATCAGGACGACTAATACATCAACCTCGATGGATGCAGGATTTTACAAAAGTAAAGAAATTGTATTCTCAATAATAAAGAACTTGGGAGGGGGGATGTTATGTATACATACATGTGTGTATATACACATACACATGTATATTAACTGCGGACAGAAAGGGAACTAGGACTTCTGCTGGAGAGCGATTTCCTGTAAAATGCCTTAAGGAAATAAATGTATGTTCTCGCACTCCAATCTTCATCTCTCTTCTCTAAGTGCAGCGAGAAATCATCGCCGACTCATCTCAACTCCATTTTACGAAGAACAAATACCTGCACGGTAAGACCGAATCATTTTACTTCTTTGTTGAATGTAAACCTCATTTACTCCACGTTGTTTATGTGTCGATCGGTGAACACAACAATTCTATCAAGGTTTTGAAGCGTCAGTAAGTCAACAGTCATTGAATCAAATTAAATCTATTTCCGCTAGGTCTGAGGGACCTGCAATATTTTTCAGTTTTTAATCCCCTGTTCCCATTTAAATTTTTGCGACTACAAAACAAAAAAAATGGATCTCGACGCAGCTATTGTTGCCTTTTCATTTTAGCAAAATAACAACCCATGGTGCCGTTCACACTAATGGTACTTCTGCTCAGACTACCCCTGTTGAGAAAGTCAAACGTCCAACTCTAACCGCCGCTGGTTCTAGGGAGGACTGGGCCTACTTTTCAATCACGCTGGATCGACTATTTTTGCGTGGTAGCCACAAAGGTATCAGGGCGCGAAGCGGTGATCCAACTTCTCGAGTGCTGCGATGAACCACTGCGCAGAGATCTCACTCGCACATCAGGTGGCAACCTTACAGAAAAAAACCATAGATGTAGTCATGTGTGCCATTCGGAAACTAGCTGTTCGCGAGGAAAACACAATGGTAGCAAGGGTAACACTGTACAACATGCGACAGGATCGAGACAAACCGGTGCGACACTTTGGTGCCCGCCTACGTGGACAGGTTTTAGATATCTTCAGGTTCGTCATCACGTGCCCTAGTTGCAAGTATAACGTGAATTACACCGATGCCATTGTGCGCGACGTATTAAGCCGAGGAATTGCCGATCCTGACATCCAATTAGACCTCTTAGGAGATAAAAATCAGGATATGTCATTGGAGAAAATATTCCAGTTCATTGAAGCGAAAGAAGCTGGGAAAAGATCAGCCTCAAGACTACTAAACACCTTTTCAGTGGAAGCTGCACGTTCATCTTATCAGAGAACCAAGCACCCACTGGATGAGGATAAACAGGGCCCATGCTCGTACTGTGGCAAGCGCGGCCATAGCATGAAAAGCGCCACACGCATCCGCAGAAACCAGTGCACAGCCTTTGGTCACAAATGTGAGCGCTGTCACCGAGACAACCACTTTGAAAACATGTGCCATAGTAAAGACACGCCTCATGACAGAAGACCATCACAGACGGAGCGATTCAATAAAGGAAATGCCGTTTTTAATTCTCTGTGTAACGCAAAAGACGGCTCATCCGACGATAAGGTTTGCAATATAAATAGCAACCATCGTGGTCGACAACAAGTCAGCATACCACTAAACCACCATGTATATGACAGCCTATCCAACACTTGGATCAAGCGAAACTCAAAACCTCAGCCATTTATCAATCTGACGGTAGAGGCTCTTCCCGGAGATCACAAAACCCTAGGCATCGAACTATTGGCACGCGTTCTACAGCCGTTAGTGTGCCGGTCATGGCCGACACCGGTTGCCAAAAGCTGCCTGGCTGGCCTAAAAGTGATCCACCGTCTTGGTTTACGCGAGTCTGACCTGATACCAGTGACGATGCATATGCACACGGCAACGAATAGCAGTATCAGAATCTTAGGAGCCATCCTGTTACGCCTGTCTAGCAGAGATCCACGTGGGCAACTGATTGAAACGAGACGAATGACGTATATTACACTCTCGTCAGATAAACTATTCTTGAGTAGGGAAGCCTGCATAGATCTTGGCATTATAACAAATGACTTCCCTACCCTGCATGCTACGTACAATTATAGTGCCGCCAGAATAGATGGGAGAGATAAATCATCATGCGGATGCCTAGTACGGCGACTGTCGCCACCAGCGCCAACCACACTGCCATTTGCAGCAACAGACGAGAACCGTGAAAAGCTACAGCAGTTCCTCCTCGATTTTTATGGTGCCAGCACATTCAACACGTGTGAACACCAAACACTACCCATGATGGACTGTCCACCTCTGAAGCTGATGGTGAACCCAGACGCCGAACCAGTAGCGCATCACACACCTGTGCCGGTTCCAATACATTGGCGGGATGACGTCAAAAAGGGACTTGATCGCGATGTGAAATTGGGTGTCATTGAGCCTGTGCCCATTGGCGAACCCGTCACCTGGTGTCACAGGATGGTGATCTGCGCAAAGAAAAACGGCCAACCCAGACGCACCGTCGATCTCCAAGCTCTGAATGCCCACGCGACTCGTGAAACGCACCACACACCATCGCCATTCCTCCAGGCACGGTCAGTACCCACTGGTAAAAAGAAAACTGTCCTTGATGCTTGGAATGGTTATCATAGCGTACCTCTATGTGAGGAGGATCGCCATCTCACTACATTTATTACCCCTTGGGGTCGGTATCGCTACAGGACGGCACCACAAGGCTATATTGCGTCCGGCGACGGATACACGCGGCGATACGATAAGATTGTCGCAGACATACCAAACAAGACGAAGTGTGTTGATGATGCCCTACTGTGGGCCGACAATCTGGAAGATAGTTTCTTTCAGACCGTAAATTGGCTGGATATCTGTGGGAGAAATGGCATTACGCTGAACCCAGATAAGTTTATATTCGGAGCGGATATAGTTGAATTCGCTGGATTTGAAATTACAAATAAAGATGTCCGTCCATGTAGGAAGTACTTACAGGCAATTTTAGACTTCCCGACACCGAAAAACATCACGGATGGGCGTTCATGGTTTGGTCTAGTTAATCAAGTCTCTTACGCATTCAGCATGGCGGACCGGATGCTACCCTTCCGGGAGCTACTCAAACCTGGCATCCAATTCAAGTGGAACGAGGATCTAGAGGCTCTCTTTCAGGAGTCCAAAGCGGCAATCACTGCTGAAATTGAACATGGTGTCCGCATCTTTGATCCAAATAAACCAACCTGCCTGGCGACTGATTGGTCAAAGTCCGGCATTGGATTCTGGCTCTTACAGAAACAATGTTGCTGCACTAAAAACGAGCCTTTCTGTTGTCGCTTTGGTTGGAAAGTCACACTAGTTGGTAGCCGGTTCACGCACGCAGCAGAATCACGGTACGCGCCAATAGAAGGTGAAGCCCTTGCCGTCGCTGATGCCTTAGACAAGGCTAGATACTTCGTCCTAGGCTGCTCAGACCTCATAATTGCGGTCGACCATAAACCACTACTAAGAGTATTCCTCGACCGATCACTTGAGGATATCTCAAACACGCGCTTACGAAATCTCAAAGAGAAGACATTACGCTACAAGTTTAAAATGGTACATATCCCCGGAGTGAAACATCGTGCCACTGCCTATCACGCTATCCGACAGGCGAACCTGTGAAACTCATTTTGACGGATGACCTGGCATCGATTGCCTCGAACCATGACGCTTTCCGACACCCGACCCAATCACTGCCTGACCTTAGGGTGTACGACAACACTGACAGTGATATCGAGGAGTGTGTGATTGCAGCCGCTACCACATCACTAAATGCATTAAACCTCAAGTCAGACACATGGGACAGAGTGCGCACCGCCACTGCCAGCGACGAAGATATGCTAGTATTGACTGAGCTCATAGAATCTGGCATGCCAGAATTCCGCCATGAAATGCCAAACTCCATTCGCGAGTATTTTCAGTTCCGCGATGATCTGTCTACTATAGACGGCGTCATAGTTTATAAGGACCGCATCGTTATCCCACCATCCCTGCGAGACGAGGTGCTCTGCGCCTTGCATTCAGCTCATCAAGGAGTAACCTCTATGATCGCTAGGGCCGAATCATCTGTATTCTGGCCAGCTATAACGCCTGCTATTGCAGCACTCCGTGCTAGCTGCCTGCAATGCAATCGCAACGCACCATCTAATTCTAGCGCTCCACCAGTCCCTCCAACGAACCCAGAATACCCTTTTCAGTGTCTCTGTGCTGATTTTTCCACATACAAAGGAAACCACTACTTAGATCGTTATTCCAACTGGTCAATAGTTGAAAGATCCTCAGATGGGGCTCTTGGACTCATATACTGCTTCAGCCGTACTTTTGTAACTTATGGCATACCCGTTGAGCTGGCCTCTGACGGAGGGCCCGAGTTTACTGCTACCATTACTCGACAGTTTCTAGCTGATTGGGGTGTTCACCATAGGTTATCCTCAGTAGCATTCCCTCACAGCAACTGCAGAGCAAAGCTCGGCGTTAAGACAGTAAAGCGCCTTCTTATGGACAATACAGGTCCCTCCGGAACCATTGACACGGACTCATTCCAACGTGCAATGCTGCAGTATAGGAACACACCGGATAGAAACACAAAGTTATCTCCGGCGATGTGCATCTTTGGCCGTCCTATTCGAGACTTCATACCCATAATCCCGGGAAATTATAGACCTCATGAAACGTGGCGCAGCACATGGAAAACACGTGAAGAGGCCCTGCGGAACCGCCACATGAGATGTGCTGAGAGATTATCGGAGCATACCAAATGGCTGCCACCACTAGTCGTCGGTGATCATGTGCGGATTCAAAACCAAGTTGGACCGTATGCACGCAAATGGGATAAAACTGGGGTAGTCATCGAAGTTTGACAGTTCAACCAATACGTGATAAGCGTTGACGGATCGAGAAGAGTGACACTCCGGAATAGAAAATTCTTACGGAAGTATGTCCCAGTGCAACTCCCTCCCTCAAAGCTGACAATCGATAATGACATTCGTATACGTAATGCGGCTCCTACTTTGACACCGACAATTGTCTCGAATGACGTCACAACAACATCACCCCAACTCACAGAACCCAAGAACCCCATCGCTTCTGACCCTCCTGCCCAACCGGTGATCTCACCAAAAGTATCACAAACGCCGCGGAACGCACCAACAGTGCTAGAAACCGCTCCACCTGACAGAGAAAAGCCGACGTTTGACGGAGACTTGAGTTTTGATACCACTGTATCGCCGTCCCGAGCATCAATGTCCAATCCCTCTAGTCTAGAGACAACCCCATCCTCCCCACGTATGTTGAACACGCCAAGAAGATCAGGCCGCGCTAAACACGCGCCGAAGTGGTTCAAAGACTATATTATGACAGTTCAGACTTCACCTGACTTCTGATTCGGTGTCCCTGCATATATACCATATTCTCTGTTCACGTTGTATCCTCTGACAATTGGACTCTACCATAACCTCCGATATAAACGTCTATGGTATTCCGCCTCTCCCCTTATTTAGTCTCCTTAACCTCACATCTAATGTTTGTGAACCTTTCGAAGTATCAGTCTTTGAGCATGTCCTACTTGACACTTACGTTGACATACACGCAAAGACTTGGGGAGATATAGGATTACCATGTTTCATGTAATTCTTACTATTATGTCTCTCTCTTTGTGTTTCTACCAGAGGAAATAAAAAGGAAATATTTGCAGTTTGTCTCACACTGAAAAAGACAAAATGTTTATATTTGAAAATTGAAAAGAAAAATTTTGAAAATGCGACGATATTCAGTTAGAAAACTTGACAAGCGTTGTTGTGTTGCTAACTGAACGAATGCAAAGCAATTTCTGAAAAACAAATTGCTTCAATCAAGGAAAACTACTCACGTGACATTATTTCAAAGCTGTGCATCCATACTTTCGTTGGAGACGATTTTAAATACAATTTTGGAATATTAAAAAATTATTTAAAAAATATCAACGGTTGTCAAATTTTAATAAGCTTTCAAATTTACGATCTTCAAAAAGTAGAGAATATAATATATCATTTCGATAAGGTTTCATAAAGAAACTTAATTTTAGAATATATAACAACCTTTTGTCATATTATGTATTTAAAATTGAAAAAAAAATATTGTAAAAATTTATTTTTCATCAAAAAAATTTTTTTCTTTCAGATAAAAATTACCTTAGTATATGTTATCCAGAAAAGGCATTAAAGGCTTTTTTAATTAAATATTGTCTCAGTTTAATTGGGTATTGTATTTTTACAGTTGAGGTAAAAGTTTGGACAATTTTGCGCATTATTTACCAAATAAATCGATGATTTACATTCTTCAGAGTCTTGTGCATTTAATTTTTTAAAAAAGGTTGCAAAAATTTTTTTTAAGTTTTCATAAAATTAAGTTCGTGGGGTGGTAACAGATATAAAAAAAAATATTTATACCATGACTTTCGAAAAGACAAACATTTATAAAACAATTTAATTCATTTATGAATAAGTTCTGAAGGATACATTAAAATCCAACAAATACTTGATTTTTGCAAGATTTTTCAAATCAATGTTTTTCAACTGAAAATAGTGAAAACCAACTAATGCCTAATCACTGACCTAAAAAAACAAAAAAAACAAGAGATTTTCAACCTAAATTTAAAACATGCTGCAAAGGAATAAAAAATTAAAAAAATAATTTAAAAATAACTTGGTCTTTACTCTTAATATTAACAAATTTTTTCACGATAAAATTTTGTTTCTATTAAGTTTGGGGCCATTTTTCTTTGGACGTAGTCAGTCATCTTTTCATTGTTGAAATACAGCGACTTGTTCTAATTAGAAAGCCTTGTGTTTATTTTTATTTTAGCTTGTTTTAATTTTTTTTTTTTTTCCACAGCTAAAACTTTGAATCGCTGAAGCGTTCAGCTTCCAACATGTTCTGTATGATTTTGTGTGCATGTTCAACAAAATTCTTCCTTCATGTTTCAGTAAATTCTCCTGGATTCGTGAATTTACTTCGACTTGTTTTTAAATTTGATAGCAAGAAACGGAGGGGCTGGTTGAATTTTAATGCCTGCCGGCGGTAGAATTTTAAAAGCAATGGTGAGTTTGTGATGTCGATAGAATCAGTTGTAGAAGAAGGAACAGAGTGAAATGTCAGGGGTGAGTGTAACTGAGAGAAAAAGTAAAGTGTTAGCAGCAGTAGAGATGAAGAGAGCATCGCTTGCCTCTGCTGGTCGAACCAAAAGAGGTTAAGAAGTAGATGTGGCTATTTGTACTTTTTCTCTGCACATGTTGTAAATTTGCCTTGCGGTTCTATTTTGCAGTTTGCAATTTTCATGTTCATATCACGTTATTTGTTATGGATACTTCTAACTCAGCTAAAAGAAGTGGCAGACAAAATTTTAATGTGTAAATAACTGGTTGTCATCGTTTGTCAATGTAAAATGAGAAATGAATAAATTTTAATATGATGATATTTTCATGTATTTCTATATAACTAATAATTGATTAACAAAAGAGAGAAAGTATAGTGTGTACTACAGGGTTGAAAAGAAAAAAGACATTAAAAACTTAGCTTTCCTTTACTATCTTCTGTTGGAGTTCTTGTAGTTTCCTTTCATTGTCTGCTATCAAGGCTGTGTCGTATGCATATTATATGTTGTCAAGATTCTAACTGCCAATAATGAATCCTGGTAGGACATTTAATTCTCTAAGAATCGCCACATTGTAACGGTTGAATACGTCTGGTGAGAAGTTGTGACAAACCAGATATGAGTAGATCTATCTAAAAATTGATACCAAAGAAGCCACCTGTAAATGCATACGAACGTCATCAAATAATCAGTTTAATGATCCACATAATAAAACATATAATTTAAATTATTATGAATAGAGCTCATAGAAGAATTGCATCAGAAATAGAGTAAAAATAATGTTGCTTCGTTCAAGACTGTTGGGGGGTCCACCCCTTTTTACACAAATAGACTCACCCAGTATATACATATACTACTTCTACGGGAAGACCCGAGAGTAAGACGAGAGCAAGACCGGTCGAGTCGAGTTCAGAGTGACAGAGTAAAAGGTTGTTTGTAACCGGAAGAGTGAGGGTGAGGTAACAGCGTTGTAGGAGTCACAGTGAGCGAGCACGCAGACTCAGTAAGAAGTCATACAGCGATACTTCAATACCGAAGACTTTATAT